CCAAAATAAAATTGAATTACTAGGTAACATTTAAACAAATTTCAATAATATTCAGCATCCCCATTTTGGGGAACAAAAATGTATCGCTGATTAAAAGGTCACTAGTTCTAAAACATTAACTCTCTATAATTGTCTTTTGATTACACTTTTTTCCTATAGGCTATTCCTTCTCACTTGGGTCTTTTTTCCATTCCAATGTCCACAGTGTCACTCACTGGTGGTTTTGCTATTGTAAAGATTATTGATACCGATTAATAAGCTGAAAATCAATGCTAGAGAGATGATTCAAAGTTTTTCTTAAGTTCTACAGACTATACCCATTCTCTTATAGACATGTTTCTCCCATTAATATCCCTGGGTGCATCTACACATGCATTTTACTGCAGACATGACTAATTAATCAACTCAATAAAGAGCTCATGTAGGTGTGCCCACTGAGAGTTATATGTGTACAAGCAAAATAGAGTAAGTCTTTGAGAGAAGAATCATGTACTCTAGGATAGCTTCTTACAGAAGAATCATGTATTCTTCCTACAGCACATTATATCATTCTTAAATAGTTAAACACTTGTAACTTAACTGAAGTCCCGTTTACTTCAATTTTGAGTTCTGTTGCTTTTCTTGTAATTAAAAGTACACACCACATTCACAGGATTGGCTACTACATTTATATTTTACATTTGGAAATAGCCATAGATTAAAATCTTTGGAATTTATCAGGAATACACGAATTCATGGGAACTACAGAGTTTAGTCTTAGTCCATACTGAGGGCTTTACCTAGATACAAATTGTGGGGCTGGGTCAAATAATGTTATTTTTCAAAATAATTATGTTGAAAAGTAATAACTATGATCCATAATCCTGTTGCCATTAGCAAACTATGATATCCCAAACTCCATTTATTTTGTACTGGTATTTTATTTATTTGCTTTTACTTATGCTCAAAACCATTAGTTGGTTAATTAATTCTCTCTGTTCTGTAAGGACAAAACTTAAAAATACAATATGATTTGGATCAGGATTGAGTCAATTATTAATTGAATTATGTTGGGTTCTTTTTACCTTCCAAAAATGGTTTTCTAGTTTAAAATATGTTACTCATTTTCTGAATGTTAAAATCTGGTTTCTAAAAGTAAATCTGGGAAAACCAAGAGCTGTAAAATAACAAACTAGGAACAACTTTAATATTTTTGTCTGCGTTCTTTTTCATCAAACATATGTCTCTTATTTGCTGGATACAAAAATATCTTTCAGCCTTGGGTATGGGAGACCTCATGAACTCAGAAGAAGTTGTAAAACAAATTATATCAATCAGTGGCACACCTCAAATCCTGCTAGCTTTTTAGAAAGAATTTTTTTGTCATAGTCCTTTCAGTGCATGGTGCATAAATCTCCCATTTGTTAATTCATCCTGATGAGGGAAAAGCATATGTTTAAGGTAACATCCTTGGAAAAGATGATGGACATATCATAGGAATTCTGAAGGTATCTTAGCTGCTTGGGACACTCATTTACATGACAATGTCCCAAGTACTGTTCAGATTGAGAGCAGTGCTGGGGACTGAGCTGTGGACAAAAACCTGAAAGGTTTGCATGTGACTGCAGTGCACTGAGCTCTCCTTTGTTTTCAGAAAGTTTTGGAAAAGCAAACAGCTCTTTCTGTCCCTTTTAAGGCTTTAATATTGACCTTTTTCCATAGTTCCGAATTGAAAAAGCAAATAAGTCCCTTTCTTAATTGTGCAAAGAATCAGTACCCAGCAAGTGAAAGAGGCAGTTAACTGTGTTAGTCTGAAGTCAGGCAGGAGGCAGGATAGAGTTGCACCTTACAGACTATCTGAATCAGAGCTACATAAATGTTATGAGCAAGAGGTCACTTCATCAGCATAGTTTCAGCATAGCTCTTGCTCATGAAAGCTTATGCAGCTTGGATTCAGTTATCGGGGCAGATCCAGAGGGGATGCAGTGGTGCAATTCCACGTCCCTTTTGGACTGGACTGCATGGTGGGAGCCTCTGGAGACTTCTTTAAAGTCTCCAATGCATGTTAGAATCCTTCCTCCCTTCCCCAAAGCACACCTCCTTTCCTCTTCCCCTCCCTCCACCACCTACAGCTGCTGCCTTCCCCACTGTCCCTGGGGTGGTGGCAGCTTCAAAACTCCTGCCTCTTCCAGCTGAGCTGTATGGGGGCTGGGCTCAGCTGAGAACAGCAACAGTGGCAGCAATGGCACTGGGAGAGGGGAGTTCCCCATCCTGCCTGGTCCCCTGAGAGCAGGTACCCCTGCTCATTGCTGCCACTGTAGCTGTTCCTGGGTGATCCCAGCCTCTGCACAACCTGGCTAGAGTGGATAGGAGCAGCTTTAAAGCTTGCCTCTCCCTCAAGACAGTGGGGAAAGCAGTAGGGGCAGGGGAGCATATGTGCCTTGCGGAAGCAAGGTGGGATCCTTACTTGCTTTAGAGACTTTTAAAAAGTCCCCAGAGGCTCCAGCAGTGGTCTCTCTGCAAAGGTGGGTGGGGGGAGGAGGCAGGGAGCTACCTCTGCAGCCAGGGTGGCTGTTTCTGCACTTCCCATTGCCACATCCTGCATCCACCCCAGTTCAGTTTGTCTGTAAGGTGCAGTTCTACCCTGCCTTCTTCCGGTAAATGAAAGGTACGGGAGGAAAAATCTTGTCTTTAATGAATGGGGCTGAGACAGCTGAGATCTGGATCTATCACAGAACTGCAGTTGTGATCATGAGAAAGTCACTGAACTTCTCTGTGTCTTGATTTCCATATCTAACAAAGCTGAGGGAGAGTACTTATGAGGATTAAGCCTTTAATATTTTAAAGCACTTTGAGTTTCTCATATGAAAACTATTGTGAGAATGAAGAGTATAATACTTTGCAAGTTTAGATTAATTTTATTCTTGTGCCTCCATTCAACAGTAGGGTTTTAGTTATCCAGACAAGATCACCTCTTTACCCCAAAGATCCTGGGAAAGTAATTTAATCATCAGTCATTGATAAGGTTGCTTTGGTATATACACTGTTTTACCAAAAGAGAGAATTATGACACAGTAAAACTAGGAGCCGCACTTTTCTTCCTTTTCACCCTGATTCTTCATCTCAAATCCTAAATATTAAAGCTTGGATAATTTACATAAAATTGCACCTTCAAGTTGCATGCAACAATGGTTTGACAGAAATGCTGTGTAGTACATAGTTAGCATTGTACCTGTGTTCTGGCTTACCATGCAGTTTTGTAACTTGTGAATCACCCTCACTGAATGCTTGAATCTTAGATATGAGTACAAAAGCAAAATGTGGGGAATCTTACAAAGCCTCCCTTGTATAAATAAATGTAGAAATCTAGTCAGTGCTCTCAAAAATAGAACCCAAATGACTTATATTTGCAGATATTAGAAAGGAAAATTGACTTACAGTTGAAATTCACTGTCAAACATGGCCATGTTCTGATTTTTACAAAAGATAATACTTGACAAACTTCAAGTTTTGGAGTGTGTATATGTATAAGTGTGTCTTTCTCTCTAGATATTCAACATATGTGGATTTATATGGAGATACATGTACATAATTGGGAATATAGACATTTGATTAATTTGAAAGCTCTGAAGTTTAACTTGTCACTTTATAATAAGAACCTTAAGTGCCTTAAACACTATTCCTTTCCAAAGTGACTTTTTTTGTTTCCCCCTCCAAAAAAAATCAAAATGTACTTCATGAAACTATTGTATATGAAGCACTTATTAGCCGTAATTAAATGGACAATATGAATTTACTACGTCTTTAGGACTCTGGCTTGTTCTGGTTTAGAGCAAGATGATTAATGCAAATACATATTACTTGAGATAACCATTTAGCAGCTAATTTAGCCAAATTTATTATAGCAGTTAGAGGTTTTTCATTTTAGCAGAGGGAGACAAGGACATGCCAAAAGCAGGTGTATATGAATGCACACTGCCCTCTAGTGCACAAAGCTTACCAGGATTAGTGGAAAATACCTACGAACTGAACATACATTAGAGAAATAATAATACCCAGACTTTGTATATTCTAGGCATTCTTTAAAACTATGCCAACTTATAGTGCTTTATTCCAACGAAAGATTTCAGTTCCATTCTCCTTTTACTAGCACAGAAGTATTCATATACAAATTGAATCAAGTTCAGTTTGGCAACATTTTGGTCAGTGTACTATTTTAAACATCTGTATTTTTAGCTTTATTTCTGTGGGCATTTAATAACACTGTTTCACATTACTGATTGTTTTTAGTTGTTCCTCCATTTCTGGGCATATTTCAGGCCCTCACATAGCTGACACACTGCAGTTCAAACCAAGTCAATTCTGCACCTCCCTAGGCCACAGTTTCTTTCTTGGGCTCTTAGTGGATTTATTTTGCTCTGGTATTAAGTACATTCTCCAAAGACTTTCCCCCTGCTGACCATTGGAGATTTGGTTCATCTGAGAACTGTAAATTCTGTTTGACAAGATCAAAAGAAACAGATGTATAAGTTCAGTAGTTGATATCGCCTGCAATGAGGAGAAATGATCAAAGAACTAGGATCTTCCCAAACCTTTCAAATATCCAAAATCTCAGAGAGGTCTACCTAGGAGCTATAAATAAATTGCATACAAATTTACCCCCTCCACCTTTTTTTTTTCTTTTTTTTTTTTTTTACAGTTTGATGTCAAACACATTGAAAATGTCCACGCAGTATTAGGTGTTTCAGGCAAAGAGATTTACAGACCTTTTAACTCTTCTTCTGACACTACAGCTGCCAAAAACAGATTAAAATCTTGCTCCAAATAGTAGTAATCCACCTTTCTCCACCAGTGCTCTAGTGAGCTATTTAACTTGTTTCACCTTACTAGTATTCTACATTAAACATAGCAGGAGCCAAGTGTTTTCCATGTCTCTACTTTGTGACTTGTAGAGATGAGTATCACTTTCCTGGGATACCAACGTGCAACATTTCTATTATTTCCTTTTATTTTCCTTCTAGTGCTGAATAAAGGTCAGTGTGTAACAAAATATTACCGCTGGATGCAGAAGAATGGAGGGTATATCTGGATACAGTCCAGTGCAACCATAGCGATCAATGCCAAGAATGCCAGTGAGAAGAATATCATCTGGGTCAATTACCTTCTCAGGTATATCTTCCAATCCCTTCTATTATTTGAATTTCTGTCTCTGTTGCTTTATTCATCCTGAAAGATATGGAGCAAAAAAGAAATAAAATGGCTGCTATGGAAAGGAAATATGAGATGAACTTTCTCATATGATGCTTTTCAGAAAAGCACCTTCTGGTGGAATACATTAAGACGCTTGTCATGTCTCATGTTACTGAGAACTTCTTGAATTATTTCACTGTCTTAGTATTAAAGTAACCCTCCATCAGTTTTATTACAGGCCTCTACTTCATAGAAATCTACCCTGCACCAGCTAAAACTGTGGGAAGACCTTGTGCAACATGTACTGTGCTTATAAAACCTGGGGTGGATTTTTCAGATTGCCTTAATTATTGCAAAATCCTGGTCAGAAGGGTGAAGGTGATCTTCCTAGGGCATTATAGGCATGTTGCTTGGAAGGATGACCTCCATTCGATTGTGTTTGAGAGCACTTCTTGATAAGGCAGACATGCGGCAGAATTCACCTTGAAGGATGCAATAATAAATAAATGAAACACTCTTTTAGGTATCAGGCTGTTACATTTTCAATAAAACACTTTTTCATTGAAATATTCTCTTTACCAAAGTATAGTTCTTTTGTGGATATACATAAATTTCAAAGACATTTTTGATGGCATGGTTTCCGAGGTCCAGGGTGGACTCTTCAGTCTCTCTAAAAAAAAAAGAGAGAGACAAGTGGAAAATTTTACCTTTCAGATCCAGAAACACATTTTAGCACAATTCTTTTAAAGGGTTTTGATAATTTCCGTGCAGAACAAAAAACAAATGTTGAAACCTCAAAGTTTCATGAAATGGAATGGTCATTGTGTGGCCTGCTGTACTTTTAAGATAGTTGTCATGGTTTGTTACATTCTCTTTGTTCTATATACAATACATAAACATTTCAAAGTTATGTCAGATCTAGATCAATCGTTTGCAGCCAGGGTGCCCTGAGATCCTTTCAAGGGTGCCACAGGGTGCCACACAATGTGAGCACTGTTAGGTGTGCAACCATGATTCACAAAATAAACCCAGAGATTTCAAATAGGAATCCATGCTGTTAAAATCAGTCTGACCTGTTGTGGTCCTTCTGAGTTCTTTACAACAGAAGAGTCACCCTGTTATTTTTGTGTAGTAAAAAATGAGTGAAAACTAAGAGCTGGCATTTTCCATGGGGTACTTTGAGTCTAATGAGTGGTGCCTTGAGTCTAAAAAGGTTAGGAACCACAAATCTAGATTTTGACTTCTAAGACAAGGTCAAAAAGCACTGGAGAGATTGTGCCTACCTAAACCATGATCTTGGTTGTTAGAATAGTCTTTATTTCCTGCCTGAGGAGTGAAAGCAAGCAGTCCTTAATGGAAGAGCAGGCGCTGACATTGAGAGAAGCTTTTTACAGCAGTGTGCTGAGTTAGGAGTTGATTTGTAGATATATTTCTTTCCCTGTGACTGAACATGGGCCTATCATAATCTGGTCCTTTCCCTCAACGTTTTCTTTTTCAGTCCTTTAAAATCTGGTAGATGATTGATACCCTTGAAAGCAATGGATTAGGCAAGCTTGCAAGAGTGAGGCATTTTTAAAAAAGACATTTTTGTTCTACCCTATATGGAACCACAACCTGTGCTGAATAATAGCTGGGTTTTGTACTCAGGATAAAAATCTAAATAAGATTGTAAACCAGTGCTTTATTTCTATTTCCTTGTACACAGACAAGGAGTAAATTTGATCCACAGTTGCTTCACTGTCTATCAGCAGAGCATTGGAAGCAAACAAACACGAAGGTCTTACTATCCATTATATAACGATTCCTCAGAGAACTTGATTTTTCTTCTTTTCCTCCATCAGTGTCCAGTTGGAAAAAGATTAACTCCTTCATAAGATTTGTCTCAATTTAAATATAGAAAGAACTAGGATTAGTCTTGTTCAAAGAACTAGCTCTTTTTATTTAAGAAGCTAGGTACTGAGAATAGAATGCCACCCAAATTTCTTTTTCCTTGAAGTAAGGGAAGTTTTATGGCTCAACCCTGCATTGTAAGATGACAATGTACAGTAATATCATCAACTGTGATGCACCAACATAATGTCACTTTTTGTCCCACAGGACAAATCTGAAAAGATGATATTCCTAGGTAAGAAAGGAGAGCGATGGAAGAATGGAATGTCTGAACATGGAATTTGCAAAGTGCAGTAAAATAGGCTGAATATAGGCACCATATAATTGCAATACACTAGGCACACTTAGTGCCTCCAAACTCCGTCACTTTTATGGATACGTACTTATGGGTCTCCTGGTACTAACTAGGCTGGGATATGATCACCTATTCAAAAACCCAGAAAAAGGTATTTTCTTAAATGACCCGTGCTGCTTTTGACTATGTAAGTGTGTTCCTTTGTCTTTGCACTTATTTGAAAAAGGAGCACATTTTAAAAAAAAAGCCCTAAAATAGGAAAAAGCATGAGTTTTATAAGACTCTTTAGTAGGGAGGCTTTTCTACATTGCAATCATGTTCGTCACTAACAAGTCACAGGTGAACACCACATGAGCAGATGAAGATATGATTATAATAGGTGTGTTGACAGTTCTGTATCCCTAACATATGCATCTCAACATGCACATGTGCATCTGTCATATATTTAGGATTTTTTTTTTACACTAATATCTTCAGCACTCTCTGAGCAAGAGTCAGATATCTGGTCCATAACTGAACAATACTTTCAGCAAATTTAGTTTGACTTGAGTAAGGTTTGGAAAATATGCCCATTAAGACAGCAAGTATTCAATTAGCTATGCCCAATCAGAATGTAATGTCACATGAGTAAATGTGGGTGAATATCATAAGTGACTTAGAAACAGATTTTAGGGGGTCCCAATTCTCTCTCTCCCCTCATGTCCAGTTGCTATAAATGGACAGAAATTGATCCCCCCCCCGGCCGCTTTACATTCTTTGCTCCTGAGATTTGATAAAGGAAAGAGAGAATACTATCATCAAACTGCAAAATCATCCATTTTTGTTTATACTCACTTTCTCCTTTTTTTAGCAACCCAGAGTACAAAGACACTCCAATGGATATTGCACAACTTCCTCATCTGCCAGAGAAAACCTCAGAATCCTCAGAGACCTCTGACTCTGAATCAGACTCAAAGGACAACTCAGGTAATGTAAATGTACTCTGCTTCTTTACTACTGCATATTTTTTTCTTCAGTCCTTCCAGGTCAGGAAGAAATTTTGGCCTATGGTAAGATTGTTATGGACTGGGGGAGAGCGGGGGGGGGGTGCGGGTTGCCTTCCTCTGTAACATGGAGCATGGCTCTCGTTTTGGGATCTCTTGAGCTTATATTAGCAAGCTTTACAGGAGCAGAACGTTGGCCACCGTGATCCTCCTGTTTTACCTGTGGCAAGCTAGGGTGTTATATCTTATGTTGTGTCAAGGTTGACTGTGTAGTTTGCCTAAGAGGTTAGACAGTGGATTTGTATAGGATGGTTTGGATAGAGATGATCCTGCTTCATGCAGGGAGTTGGATTAGATGACATCTGGAGGTCCTGTCCAGCCCTACTTTTCTGTGATTCAAATCAGTGGCTTTGTTTCTAATTTATTACTGAAATTTACATTTCTCGTAGATGGTTCTACTTTTAAAGAATACCTTAAACTCCAAAATCATATTTTAAAAGGCCTAGAAAGCTTTTAGTAACCTAGGAATAACCATTATTTATTCAGTGCATACATGCCTTCATGAGTTACACCTATCTAAATATTTGAATTCCCAGCTGAATTTGTGAGCAAGCATTGTGCCTTGCACAAAGGACTTACGTCATAACTGTAGAATATGAAGCTAGTTCTTATCTTTCAGAGTAGTGAGATGTTCCTAACAAATCTGTATTGTCTGTACTGTTTATTGCCCCCTCTTCCATATAAATAGATTTCTTGAATTGTTTCACTAGGGGGCAGTAAAGATTACAAAATTTTTGTTTTCTTGAATTAAAAGTATTATATTTTATTAGAAGTTTATAGATTCAAGCATTTGTTTGAGAGCTTTACAGAGTGGGGGGAGGGTGCTAATAATAAATGGTCTGATCCAACTGGTTGGATAAATAAAATTTACTAAAAAGGGCAATATGTTTAGTCTGTTCACATGTTCTGCATTAGAAGTATTCTCCATTATAAATGTAGGTGTATAGATCAGTTGGCTTTTTTTTATAAAGAATATGTCTTTCTTTAGTCTAAGAAACTGGAATTAGTTATGCCATACTATACTGAAGGCCTGATTCTTCACTTGTTTCTGTAATAATCCCCATGAGTAACTATTTTGAAATCATTGGTTGCACTGGTGCAAGTCAGGTATAACTGAGGCAAGAATTAGGCCCCATATGTTTTACTTTGAATTATAGGGACGTTTGTTCTCTCATCTTGTGCACTCACTCTCTCTTTCTCTTTTGACAGCTCTGTTTGACAATTTAAGTCAGATGTTAGGCAAACATACAGGCTTGATGCCCACATGATTTGGAATCTCATCAGCCATTCAGAGTGCTTCATTTATCCTACCCAGTTTCTAAGTAACCAAATGATACAGCTGTGGATAAATGTGTGCATTTCCCATGTGCTTTGCAAGTTGCTCTAGGTGAGAAGTGTATGGATGCTCATGACTGCTGAGGCTGGTGTAGAGCAAGGGAGCATTCTTCAAAGGTGCACAGATGTTAGAAAGTAGGAGGAAAGAAACTTTAACAGTTTCAGTTTATTTTTGTTTACTTAAAATGAATTAAACAAAAGTATGGGGGGACCTAATACCCTTTTAGTTGAAACCGGCAAGATCAGTCCAGACCACTGCAGCAGACAATCTGTGCACTTTTAAGTTACGTCAGGTTGAAGCCACTGTTTCCAGGTATGACCAGTAGTATAAAAGAAACCAGTGGTTTGAATTTTTATATGAGAAATTTAGCTCTAAGTGCATGGAAAGATTTATATCCACAATGAAAGGCTTTTGTGTCACTAGCAATTTAAAAATATCACTCTAAATGAGTTAAATGAAATAAATGTAAAGTGCAGTGCCCTGAAGCATCAAGCAACTAACTGTGTATCATTCCCATCGAGCCCAGCTGCTCGGGTGCTTCTGGCAAACTCTCTGGAATTGCCATGGCTCCAGGAGAACCCAATCTTTAGAGAAAAACTGGTCCTTTTTTCCCCTGCTCAGAGCAAAGTACTGAAAAGGGTAATACTTGGCTCTGATGAGGGAAAACAACAAATTCTTTTATTTCCAAATGAAAGAATTTTGGCTGCTCTGCAGAAACAGGTTCTCCTCAAGCTATTCATGACCCTTTCAAACGAAGTGCGATTATGGTGAGTATTCTCAAAGCTGCTATTGGCTGCCTACGCCAACAGACTGGAGTGGGTTTTTTTACTTGTTTAAAAACAAGGAAAATCTCAAATGAGACTAAAAGAAATTGTAGGAGAATAGGAACTCAGCTTATGTAAACTGGAGTAGTTCCATCACTTCCTCTGGAGTTTAACTGGTTTACACCAGATGAAAATTAGATCCACTGGCTGCAGTATTTTTTTTCCTCTACTCTGTTTTCTTTTGAAAGGAATATAGACACACAGTAAAGCCATGTGACTGAAATATTTTACCTGATGTTTTTGTTCAGATTTATGTGCACATGACTTGATTTCCCTCTCACATGGGAGTGAATCCATTGAAATCAAAACTGTGCCACCATTGTAAAACAGCTGTGAGTAAGCGATGAGTTGAGTGTGCATATTAGAATTATTATTAGGGTTTCAGTCCTGCTCACTTTATAAGAACACATATGCTAAAGAGAAATCTCCGAATGCCCCACCGGAGCTGAATTGTTCCTTGATTTCTCACTTCAGTGAGTACTGCTGGAATCTAGTCACAGTCATGGTTATCAAAATTGTTTTTAATGAAGATCACATATCAAAGGGCCCCACTTAAACAGGTGCCCTGTCTCTTGCTCCAGGTGAGTGCAGTCCAAATGACAAAGCCATCAAACCTTTGCCCAATTCTACTGGCAGACCTAAATCATGGAGATTAGCCCCCCCCCCCTTCCAATCTTATGATCTTAGGCTTGTGTATCTAGAACTTGGGAGAAAAATAATTCCTCAGTTGTGTGACTTTAGTCAGAAACAGAACAGGTGATAATACCTCCTTGGTAGGTAGACATTAAAATAGCATTTTAATCTTAATTCCTGTTGCTAATGGTATTTTTCACTTCCATTTTCCTCCAGAGGACAATGAGAACTCAAAGTCAGATGAGAAAGGAAACCAATCAGAAAACAGTGAAGATCCTGAATCTGATAGAAAGAAGTCTGGGAATCAGTCGGATAATGAAATGAACTGTAACGATGATGGCAACAGCTCCAGCAACCAGGACAGCAGGGACAGCGATGACAGCTTTGAAAATTCTGACTTTGAGAATCAAAAGGCCCCTGAGGACAGTTTTGGCACTCTTGGTTCTATGCAGATCAAGGTGGAACGCTACGTGGAAAGTGAATCCGACTTGCGGTTGCAGAACTGTGAATCATTGACCTCAGACAGTGCCAAGGACTCAGACAGTGCAGGGGAAGTAAATGCCCAGTCTTCCAGCAAGCATCAAAAGAGGAAGAAGAGGAGGAAAAAGCAAAAAGGAGGCAGCATGACCCGTAGAAGGCTATCAAGCACTTCAAGCCCAAATGGACTTGACTCAGCTTTGGTGGACCAGCCCCAGCTGCTCTCGTCACCAAACAGTGCCTCAGTGCTCAAAATTAAAACAGAAATCTCAGAACCTATCAATTTTGATAACGATAGCAGTATTTGGAATTACCCACCCAACAGGGAAATCTCAAGGAATGAATCGCCCTACAGTATGACCAAGCCCCCAAACTCAGAGCACTTCCCCTCCCCACAAGCCAGCAGTAGTTTACATGTCTCCATTCCAGACTCCGTTCTCACCCCACCGGGGACTGAAAATACTGCCAGCCGCAAAACTCAGTTCAGCACCTCATCCAACTCAGCCTTGGCTCCTGTATCCTCTGACCCTTTGTCGCCCCCACTTTCAGCATCTCCACGGGACAAACATCCAGGAGGTCCCAGCACTTCCAACTCTTTGTTGTACACTGGGGATCTGGAAGCCCTTCAGAGGTTGCAAGCAGGCAATGTGGTTCTTCCTTTGGTTCACAGGGTAACTGGAACCCTTGCTGCCACCAGCACTGCTGCTCAGAGGGTCTACACCACTGGCACTATTCGGTATGCTCCAGCTGAAGTTACTTTAGCCATGCAGGGCAACCTCCTCCCCAACACCCATGCTGTTAACTTTGTTGATGTTAACAGCCCTAGCTTTGGGCTAGATCCTAAAACACCGATGGAAATGCTCTACCACCACGTTCACCGACTCAATATGTCAGGACCATTCGGAAGTGCTGTGAGCGGGGCTAGTCTGACCCAAATGCCTGCAGGGAATGTGTTCACAACTGCCGAAGGACTTTTTTCCACTCTTCCATTTCCTGTGTACAGCAATGGTATTCACACTACACAGACTCTGGAACGGAAAGAGGATTGAAATATGACCACATACTGTGTTCAGTGTTATACTCTGAGGCATAGACTATGTTTTAATTTAGACCTTTAATTCTAGCACTTTGAATTTGAGCAGGTCAGCTTATTCTCTCGATATGATGGTCCCCATTTCATTCCCTTTCTCTTTAACTTGACTTATTCTTTAATGTAAAGATATTTTTTTATTTTTGCCTTCAGAGAATCAAAGTACCAGTTGCCTGCCATTTTGTCTTCTAAGATGTGTGTTTTTTCCTTTGCATCTTTATTAAGATGCCTTTAATATGTGTATGCCTCTGCCATAGAATACTCAGTGTTGTGGTAAAGAGATTTTAAAGTGACAACCATTGGTTTTACTTCAAAACGATCTTGATATGATCAAGATTAAAAGAGACAAGCATAAACAATGTGCCCTGTTTGACTAAGTCAAATGAAAAGGGGTTTTTGTTCCTAATTCCTTTAAAAATAGGGGATAGTATTTTAGAATTTTATGCAGAGTTTAATTCTCTTTTTATGGTTAAGATTTTCTTACTTGCACATAAAATAATTTGGGTTCTTAAAAAGTTAATTTCTGGCCTGTGACTAGAATGTTAAAAAGTTGGACTAAATGTTAATTACTGAAACTTTAACTTAATTTCTAAAACCATGGTGCTATCATTTATTAATCTGTAATGTCTTCATACAATATGCAGCTTGTGGGCTGGGTTTTTTTTTTCTTTGAAAAGAATGCGTTCTGTACTGGTCTATAGTCGGGTGCTGCAGTCTCCTTGGTTAGTTAAGACAAAAGCCCTCATTAACATTTGCTGCAGGACTTAAATTTTTACCTCCAAACTAACAAACATAGCCTCACATTAAATTTAAATGGGTCAGGAAGCCCTTTTCAAAAAGTGCTTTAAAAAAACACAATTAAATTGATGCAAGGAGCAGTTTTTTCGGTGCATATTGTTTCTCTGTATTTTTTTCTCAGTGTAACTGAGGCTAATTTTACAACTTCAAATAACACTTCGGAGTAAAAAAAGAAAGAAATATTTAACATGTTTTTATTTTGTTCATTTAATGTTATAGAGGGAAGGTTGTAATTTTTTTCCATTTTATTTGTTTTTTGTTCTTTTCCTTATTTCTAGTGTTGAAACCAATAAGTTTTAAAACTAAAGAATGGGTTAATAAGCTTGAAATAGATAACTACAACTGAAAACTGCACATTAAGTAAAAAAGCAAAGAAATCTCCTATTTTGTCTTTGTTGCCAGAAATCACAGTGTAGTGTCAAACACTCCAAATGACTGTCAAATATAAATTCTTCTTCCACTCCATCTTTGGCAGCTGTTTGTTAAGGCATCTAATAACAGATGTGAGAACTGTAATGTGTACAATGTGTAAGTGTCCTTGGCTGTCAGTCCCATTGCAGTTTCAATGTGTGTTACTATATGCAGTATATACTAAGCTAATGTAGTTGTTTTGTCCTTTGTCTTCTCTGTGCTTTATCTCTAGTCCGGAGTGGTAAAGTCCCATTCCTGCAGTCCTAGTGAACCAGTGATTCTTGGGGGTTAGTGGTTTTTGTGTGGTGGCCTTCCTCTGTAATGTCACCTTATGCTGCTTCCACTGTCTGTATACCTTTTAATTTCTGCTGTTGCTTTGCTGTTGTGTATTCTCAAACCTTTCTTTCTTCTCTTTCTCTCTTTCTGTCTCTCCCTTCACACACTCTTCCTCCCTCTCTCTCTTTCTGTCTCTCTCCCTCTCTTTTTCACTCTCAGAGATAAAAGACTCTTAACTAGCTCAAGGTTAATGGAGCCATTTTTGCCACAAAGGAATTCTGGGTATGACTTACTCTTCCAGTGTGCCACACAATGCACTAAAGAGTAATGCTCAGATATATTAAACAAATTGATGCCATATCGCCTCAGTTGTTAACATTCCCAGAGTCCCTTGTGCTCTAACTGTAAGCAGAGGGTGCATTTCTTTGGTTTTCTCCCAGGTAGACTGATGAAGTAATATATAGAGCAATTACCAGTGAGATAGAAAATTCTTTCAAAGGTCAACCAACATTGTTAAAAAGGAAAACTGAGCTTAGGATTGCCATATATATTTGCTTATGTGTGCAATGCTAATATATTAACTCAGCTGTCCTTTGAATTTTTGATCACTTGCTGTGTTGAGTCAATTCCTGCAGTAGCTTTGAATTTGAGGAGTAGGTCCAAGCCACAGTGGAATAATAGCAAAAAGGGATTGGATGCCACAAATTTTAATAATGAGCTTTTAAAGGTTATATGTGAAAGATTTAAGTAGGTCCAAAAAGCGAAGAAAGCTGATTGGGAAATTTAAAGTTTAATTTTGGAAGCTCTTCTCTAGCTATCGAACAATCAAAGGAGTGCACCTATCAGCTACAAAGAACAGCTAGACAGCTGTTGTTGTTTTATTTTTATTTTTTTTTATAAATGTTTCTGTGTTGTGTCAAAATGATTTCTGGTGATTTAAACTAACAGATAATCACAGCTGCTGTCTAAATCCATAGTGTTTAAAATTACAAAATGAAAAAAAAAAAACTTCATTACCTGTGAAGACTGTGTCTGTGTTTTTAACTATTTCTTGTACAAATATATGAAATCTTTTATGAGGAGACTGGTGCTGAGTAGCTGAATAATGGGGAAAGGGATTCTGTTCGTATAAATCTTAGCAGTGTTACCAACTCTACCATATAAAAAAAAATTAAAATGTTAAAAAGTGACAGCTATGGTACATTTATTTTGTGTTAAGCTAACCGAATCTAACTTCTTGAGTGCCTGGCTTATTTGAAACATTTTTTTCATTGATCATTGATAATGCTGCAAATCAGAAATGTACATACTTCATTTACAACAGGGTTCTTTTTATACTTTTGTAGATTCTCATACATGTCATACATGGTTGTCTTTATGTAACTTAATTTTTTTCATCCCGCAGGTGCCATTTTCATAATAAACTTCTCTTGGATTTGTTACTATCTGGCATCATTTCTTTTACATATAACCATCCTGACTAATGAATGCTGGTAGTATTTGTTTGAGCAGGTACCTTTTTAATTATTTGTTTAAAAACAAAAAACAAAACCAAAGAGGATGTGGCTAGATTTTATTGACATTTGTGAACTGAGGAAAAGAAGCTGTCGAGCTGCAGGTTAAGAATGCTAATCCAAATACTACACCAAACTTGCCACCATCCTAAATTCTCAGCTACCCCAACTCATTGTCATACTGAGCATTTTTATGCACATTATCAAAGCTGAATAATGCACTTGCAACATTAACCACTGTAGAAGGTGTGCATTTTTTCTTGATTAATGCACACTGGAAGGTGTCAGCTTATGTACATTAATCATTTAAAATGCACTTTATATTTTCATTTTATACTCTACAATGCTATAACCAAACTCTTCAGTCATTTACATCCTATCAAGGCTATTGACTTTTCTAAATATGTATTTTCTTTCTCCAGATTGGCAAAATTTAAGCTGTTGGTGTTGTGTGTTTATTGGCTAGACATTTTGCCTGTCAAACTGAAGGCAGAAGAGTTTGCCAATGCAAAAACACAAGGCTCTAAACTTACCCCCATGACTGAAGTAAAAACACAAAATGCAGCAACAAATTGGACTCCAGAAATCCATGTACAGTGATTGACCTAAAAAAGTGAATAATTGTCAACAATTATGTCTTTACTGCATCTGAAAAAACCTGCTTATTTCCTGCTGTACAAACATATATATACATATTTAAATGTGGCGGGAGGGGGAGGATGTATTCTGTCAGATGCCACACTGTCATAACTCAGTAAGTGCTCACTCTAAAATGGTGGTTGTTGTATATGAAGTTAGAGATTTGCCCAGAGTGGGTATTTAGGAAAAAGCAGTCAGAATGCATTAGATCACTTTTCTAATTCTCAGC